AGTCAAAAAATTTTAACAAATTTGAAAATATTTATAATAATAATGTTAAATATTTGTAAATTTATTATTTTTATCTTTTAATAAGAAATCTATACTATATATCTAATATAAAATAAGCAAAGAGCCTTCTTATTATTCTTATTTGCTTTTTTATTGTGAAATACTTCAAATTATATTCAGAAAGAGTTTTTATTAAAAATCATATGATTTGAATCCCTTTTATATTCTAACTCTTTCTATTTAAGTTTAATTGTGATTTTTATTATATCATCACAATGGATACAAATAAATATAATAAATAACACAATGAATATAATAGAAAAGTATACATTATCTATTATTATACTAATAGATATATTCATTACCAACACTATAAGATACTAAACAAAGTTCAATAAAGATAATTTTGAAATATTTTTATTAATTAATTATTAGATATTATAAACATATTATCAAATAATAAATTTAAAAATCTCTTTAAAAATTTAAAAAAAGAAATAATTGAAGTTTTTGAATATTTTATTAAATGAATGTCTCAATGGTTTTATTTATTATTAATTATTTGCTTTTTAGATAGAAATAATGCATAAGTATTTACTAATAGTTATTATTATATAATTCTTAAAAAAATTGTAGAATCAAAAATCTATTGATATGGAATTAAATTATGTATTTATTTTACAAAATGATTTGGATAGGAAAAATATTAATGACTTCAGATTGCATAATTTATTAATAACTGATTAAATATATTCTATGAATTTAAAGAATTTTGTATAGCAAAATAATTTACTATTGTACAAATTAAAATTAACATTTATTATATTGTTTTTTTTAATAATTTAGACTTGAAAATGTATTCAAATATGTCATAATCTCTTAAATAATCTAAACTTTTATTAGCATCTGGTAAAATAAAGAAAATTTGTCAGATAGATTAAAGAATATACGAATGCAAAGAACTAAACTTAAGGTCAAAATATTCAGCCTTAAATATTTGGTATCAAATCTTTTTAATAAATTACTAAGCTCTTAAAGTCATTAATTAATAATTATAATTTATATGTATTTTTTATTTGAAAAAATCGTAATAATAGTAAATTCATCTGAAAATTGTTTTGAAATAATTAAGATTGACCTATACATTTCACAAAAATCTTCAATAGTAAATTTTATTTCCCTTTATGAAAATTAACTATTGATTTTTTATTAATAAAATCATTTCGTTAATATGAGCTTAAAATAAAATGTCAATATATAATTATTTTAACTAAATGTATACTGAAAGAAATATTACAGGATTTTAAACAAATATAATAAAGAACTTTTTCAGAAAAAATAAATATATACTTAAAAAGTTTAATTAAAATTATTAAAAATGACAAGAGAAGTAGAAGTAAAAAAGTGCAACATCTTTTCAATAAATATAAAAAGATAAGTAAAATGTTTTTTGTTAGGATGTAAATAAGGAGTAAGTGGTGTGATGAAAATCTTTTAGTTTTTTATCATTCAAGTCTTTTAGTCCAGTCATAAAACTAGTGTTAGAATGCAGTCAATCTTTTAAATTGTCTGTATTCAAGTCTTTTAGTTGACCTAATTTTAGTCCTATTAAAGCACAAACAATCTTCTAGTTTGACTATGTTTAAGTCTTTTAATCGATCTGATGAAATAAAAAATTAATCTTTTGATTCTTCTCTCCTAGAATACTTAACTATCTAATTAGCAATTTGCTAAGGACTAAAAATCAGAACTTAGAACAAACAAATTGAGGAGTAGTTTATTAATAATTATTATTAATAATTTAATATTTTTAGTAAGCGTTCATATCAATAATAAATCTTTTAATATTAGTAGTTTAAAGAAAAGTCTAGAGGGGACTCAAGAAAAGGTAAGGATTTTTTTAGAAGCTAAAATAGTGAAGCTAATTATTTTATATTTTGATATTTAGAATAACTATAAACAGTTGAAAATGAAACATTCTAAAATCAATGATTATTTTCTATATGAAACTCAATATAAACAAGAGAATGTTGATTATGATAAATAGTTCAGTATCACTTTAGTGCTATCAAATAATATTTTAGATTAGTATTATCATGATAGATCTACTACACTATGCCTAATATTGAAATGTTTGATAGCTAAACTTCCAAGAATAAAATATCAAAATAAAATACTTAATATTGATAATAATCTATTCTTAAAGGAAATGATGCAGTTTTATCAATTGACGATATCTCACATGATTTTTTCTTTGAAGAAAATGATATAGTTAATAATTTTTTATTAAAGAAACTAATATCTCTTTGTTATTTTGTAATTATTAAAACAAGTCACTGAAGATTGCAAGAATTAAGAGGTTATTTGTAAAATCCTATGTATATTAAATACTATTACTATTTTTGATCTTAATACTAACTGCAAATTTACATTTAAATATCATAATAAATCTTTTTGACTCATCTTTACTTAACTAAATTTATTAAAAATTCATGCTAGAGCAACCAGTTAAATTAAATATTAATTGTAAATCGATATTTAGGAAAGCTATTAAGATGGCAATAAAAACTTTATGTAAGGATATCATAGTATGATTACTTGAAAAGCTTGTAAATAAAAAAAGTTTAAGAGAGAACATGAATTATATTATTTTAGATTGTCTAAGAATATTACCTAGTTCAATCATAAAAAGCAATTACAGTGAAATTACTCATATAATAAATTATTTTGATCAAATTATGAGAGGATTCTTTGATAATCTGAATCAACACATTGTATAATGGTCAAATATGATACTAGAGGAATGTAAGTTCAGAAAATTTGAAGGTCAGATAAAACAACCTGACTTCATAGTTTCAGTCATTCATCAACTATAAATAAAAGCAGTTTTTTTTGTAAAAGAAATCAGCCCACCATCATAAAAAAATAATGTATTTAAAAACTGTAATAATCTCATCTGCATAGATATCTTTATAAAAGACTGTTTATATTCGATCATTAATAAAGGAGCTGATATAAAAGTAATAAGCTTTTAATATGTTGGTAAGCAAATTAATTAATGGCTTTATCTTTTATATAATTATTTTTAATCACTTTTGAAAATTTTCTTTTGTAGACTACAAAGTTGATTTTTATGTCATAGATCTAATCAAGGGAATATATATCATAATCTATATTAGTCAAATCATATTTCCTGCTTCAATAAAAGATATGCTCTCATTTGTTGATAAAATGAGAATTTTTATAAAAGTACAAGAAATTTTTCGTGAATTCTTCAATATTTTATATACAAATCTCTGTCATCTAAGTTTATTACTATCAAAAGCGTTATCCAAATAGGATACTGAAGTTTTGATAACTAATTAGTAAAACACAATGTAAATAAATTCTTAATGTAATAAAATATTGATTTTTTTACTTTTAAAAATAATTCTTTTCATATCATTAAATAATTTTCTAAAGGAATTTAGTTTAAATATAGAACTGTAATTGTTTGCAAATAATTGTAACTAGTTATAATTTTTATTTTTAATTTAGATAATTAAGAATAAAAATAATAATTGATTTTTTATAAATTAGAAAATTTAGGATGAAATTTTAATAGTGTACTAATAATTTTACTGCAATCTTCTGACATTATTAGCTAATGTGTAATTTTATTTTGATCAAATAAATATGATGCTAAATGGCAGATATTTATATGCGAAAATATATACTTTTCATCCTTAATTATAAACCTATTATATATAGCAAACCTGTATAGTACAGTGAGCAATGTATGTATAGTATGATTTTTTTATATATGTACAGTATTAGAAATCATACAAGTATGGACTACTTGTTATGAAAAAACTATACATGTATAGTTTTTAAAGCATACATATCATACATACATTCAAGAAAAAAACTGTATAATACATACATTACTAACTGTACTATCCAGATTTGTGTAATACCTAAATTCAGATAAAGAATAGTAGTTTATTAGATAAATCAATATAAACTGATTCTTTGGATAAAGTAATCCAAACAGAAGGTATCAATTTCTTAGATCAAATTAAAAAAGCTAATATATTATTAACTGATGCAATAAGCATTTAATCTAATATCTGATTTCTATATCAAATTTGTGAATGAGAAGCAAAATAACTGAACACTATGTTTCTTCTTAATTATAATTATTGATAAACTTCTGAAAAGTATAAAGATAGGAATATTTGCATCATACATTAGAAATTTATGAGAAATCATTAGATCTGAGACGCAAAAATATGGTTCAGAAAAAAATGTGTTCACAGAGTTGGTTAGAGTGTCTTATGTCTTTACAAGAAGTATTTTAAATTTCTTTTACTTTTTTAAATACAAGTTATATAACTTTTTTTTAGACTATTAGAAGTTTTAAAATAAGTTTTATAACAATATAAAAATCTTTAAACATTGTTATTATAATAGTTAGTATGTTACTCTAAGCAAAATCTTAAAAATAGATTATTTTTGCAAGCAGTTGGGAAGCGGAAAAGGAGGAAATCCACTTTTTAGTCAAAAAAATTTTTTATTGGTTCACTCCGCTGATCATGGTCAAATGAACAAAACTAGCTAAATACCTTTTCTATTTTTTCTATTGACCGCCCTCCAGTTAGTTAAAATTCCAAAGAATTAAACAGTAAGCAAACTTTTTAAGAAAATTAGGCACGTGAAGTTTCTTATGATTAATACTTTTATAGGTTGCGTTAGAACGATATAAAATTTTATGAGTAAATTATCGCAAACTAAAAGATTTTATTCTCCAATATCCTGAGTCAATACATGTGAAACGCGTGAGCGTGAATTCATTTTGTTACCAGCAATAATATATAACAAAATAAATCATCTTTTACTCATCTTTACTTTCTAATTTTATTTTTACTTTTTTTATTCTTTAAAATTTTATATAAAATGAGTTAGCGGGTTTATTTTCTTATATAAATAATCATGTGTACGTAACCACTATCAATGCCAATATGGACTTAAGGTTGGAAAGCTTCGCTTTGAGCATAGCAAAAATATATTTTACTGACGCGGTCGTAAGTGTTTTATACTAGCTAAAAAAATGTTATGATATTTCTCACTACTAATTACTAATCCAAATTTTTGTTCTAGTCACCACCTACTGCAAGTAATCCTATTCCACCTCCAAATCAGTTTATCATGAGAGACTTTCAAGGAAGAAATGTGGCAAGAAATGTAGTAGATGGAGTAATATGTTACGTCGTAAATGAACATCGGGGATACGAATTGATTTTAAATGGGAATCCAATCGTAGTACTAAGAAGTCAAGTTCAGCAATCTGTTGAGCTGGCTGATGGCATAACTCATTTTGTATTTTAGTTTATTTGCGTAATTTTCTTACTAAATAGGTTTATAAAGTGTTTGCTGTAATGATGAATAAGCCCGACCATCAATGCCGTACTGCGTATCTTTCAGGTGACGATCTCACATGATTATTAATTATCCCCTTCCAAACTAATTTCTGTGAATAATAAATAAATTCGTAGAATATATGCAATGAACGTGCTAACGCTAATATTTCGATCCCTATTTCTTCTCCAAAAACTTATGCTTTTCTTCTCCCTATTAGATCTACTTTCATCAATAAAAAAAATTATTAAGCGCATACATGTGTTAAAATAATATTAAATTATTTTGTCAATTCATTAAAAAAAACCCCGTCCGTTATATCGTATATATTTTTATTTGAAATTATTTATTTTCAAAAATCAAACAACGACTTGCGGGTTTAGCTCAGTTGGGAGAGCGTCAGACTGAAGTGCGTTAGCGATCTGAAGGTCGGGTGTTCAATCCACCCAACCCGCACTTTAAAAAAAATCCTTTTTAACCTAAAAAGGAAAAAAAAAACCTTTTACATGATACCGAGAATGGATTTTCATTCATTGAACATAATTCATATTTCTCAAGTTCCGAACGAAAAATAGTTTAGTAATATTATATGACGCGCAAAGTACGCCAGCATTATAAACTTATCGACTTAATAAAATATTTGACGCAGTAATCACCATATCCACATTCTAAAATATTTTTTTTTTTTTCCATTAATCACGTTATTGTTATACAATGTTGATCATTTTTAAAAAATTATTAAAAAATATAACGGGGGGCATACTTTTTAACTACAAAATCATATTCTTTGTAAAAATTATTTTATCGGGCGTATCAACTTCGTTCTAATTAAAATAATATAAATGTGGATTGTCATATGGGGGTTGACCTTATGATTTTATTTGAAAAGGCCGGGATATTTAACGCCACATTACAATAAAATTTTATTTAAATGAACCTGAAATAAGTTAAATATGATTTTTTATTATGTAAAAATAAATAATTTCTTGGTCAAGATTGAACCCATTTTTAATTAAATATTCAGTATAAAATATTCTAATATTAATTTTTTAACGAATAAGCAATAACCCCTTCTGCAACATTTAATAATAATTCAAAGGCGCTATCAACATGTTTTTCTGTCGTTAATGGAGATCCAGGAGAGAATCTTATTATACTTTGTCCTCTCATCTTAGTTAGTGAAAGTAACACTTTACCACTTTCATTTAATCTATCACAAATAATTTCTGTAAGTTCATTTGAACTTTTTGTAAAAATATTATTTGGTTTAATATGAAAATTAACCAATGCAAATTTTGGAGGTGTTGAAATTACAAATAAATTGGGGTATCGTAGGAGTTTATTGTGAAATTGTCTCGTGAGTCTAACCATCTAATGATCACGTACAAGGTTAAAAAGCAAATTCCTAATAAAAATCTTTTTTTTTAAAAAAAAAATGATAAATGCTTACCTTTCTAATATGTTCTCTTAATCCTTTCGCTCCATATGTTCTTACAATAAACCAAACCTTTAAAGATCTAAATCTTCTTCCCACTTTTTTTTTTTTTTAAAAAAAAAAGTAAAATTAAAATGAAATAAAAAAAAAAAAAAAAATTCAACTCTTTTATGTGTGCTTACGTGGAATTTCCCAATCTTTATAATCTATAACTAATCCACTATCACTCGCAGAATTTTTAAGAATATCTTGTGAAACCGACAATGCATTTATAAGATGATACCGGTTATTAATCCTATTAATAAAAATAGATATATTTTTTTTTAAATTTGATAATAAAATCACTTTTTTTTTTAAAAAAAAAAAAGTTTATTACCATAAACAAGAACATTCGAAATTGGCTAATAACCACTTGTGCATGTTAAAATCGAATGAATCTGCTCGATTTATCCCTTTTAACAAATATTTAAACTCGGGACAGACAAGAGCTGCACCAGCATATGCGGCATCAACATGTAACCATATCTTTGTACCCTTGACTAAGAGTTGATTTTTTTTTTTATTAAATAATATTTTTTTTTAAAAAAAAAATGTCGTCAAATTAATTCTAGACATTAATCGCCACTTACTTGCATTCGCGATTTCAGTTAATTTATCAATTGCAGCCGAATCAGTCGTTCCTATCGTTCCAACGACGTAAAATGGAATCAATCCATTAGCAATATCCTTTTCAATTGCTTGTTTGACAGTTACTCCACGGAGAGAAAAATTATGATCGGTAGGAAGAGCACGATCGAGCGTATTTGTGATCTTTGCCGCTTTTTTTAAACAAGAATGCGTCTAATTTTTAAGTGGAAAAAAAAAATTAGGAATTAATGAACCAGAAATTTTAAGAAATTTCTTTCCTTCTGATTTACCTGATCCGAACCATAAGCAACTAGTCGAGTTGAAATGCTGCGTAATTCTTCCTCATTCGCACCTTTCTCTTTATATTCTTCTAATATTCTATGTCTTGCCGCAAGTAACGTTACTAACGTCGCTTCACTAGCAGATGCTTGAATTACGCCTCCACCTTTCCCATTACTGTAAAATTTTGGATCCAATCCAATGAGTTTTGCCATCCAATCAAGAACAATTGGTTCGAGTTCAGTACAAGCAGGAGAACTTGACCACTAAAATATCAAAGATCGAAAAAATAAAGTAAAAATCAGCACATTCAAAAAAAAGGGGGGCAGAAATGATATTTACATTGAATCCAATGACATTAAACATGTCAGAATACATGCCAGCCAATATAGAAGGAAATGAGGAATTGGCAGGATAAAGGGCAAAGAAATTGGGACTTTGCCAATGTGTAACTAATTAAATATTAACTATTTAGGTTTTTTGTGCTTAAGTATTAAAAAAATGTGTATAAAACTCACTTCCGGGGATAATTTTCGTTTCAATATCGGATTGAATTGCCTCCCACGGTTCGGGTTCTAAAGTTAAATAATTGATTCGTTAAAAAAAATAATTGTACATTCGATTTTTAAATCAAACTAATCGTTATTGTGAAATAAAAATTACCTTCCGGTGCTTTTTCAGGAAGCAGCAGCTTTAGATATCCTGGTTCTACTCTTGACGAAACTGAAGATTCGATTTGTGATCATCATTTCCTTTTTTGTTAGAATATTATATAAAAAATATATATACCTTCATAATTTTCAAGCTCTTGATAATATTTACAAATTCTGTCAATGGTTTCATAGCCTCTTTTACGAAATTCTTCAACGTCCATCTTTCAAAATGATGTAGACTTTATTATTTATTTTTTATTTTAAAAAAAGATTTAGGTCCTTTGTTAATGAGAAAAATATATTTTATTCTTTTTATAAGAAAAGAACGGCCACTCCTGATTTTTAATTAAAAAAATGATAGACCGTCGCGAATAATTTTTGGCTGACGACCGGATATAATTAATATATTTGGAATAGACGTAAAGGAACTTGAATAACGTGTAATGGTAGTTTTAATCATTCCAAACTTGGCGCATATTTATCCAGTACAATTGGTTTCAATTGTCAACACCGCCAAACGTAACTTTTTTCCGTAACACAGAAAACTTTAAAGATTAACTTTTTGAAAATAAGTTTGCAAATCATTAAGGATCGTCAAAAGTCTGAATCTTATGTCAATAGAATGAATTTCAATTTGAAATTTCAATTATAAAGATGTCAGAAGATTATTCTGCAAGAAATTACTAGTGTTTTACTATATATAAATTAAAATGATATTATTAATTTCATGCGTTAATAACGCACAAACTTTGGATCGGATGCCTTGACTTTGATAATACATTAACTTCACTGGTAATCGATTACCTGTGAAATCAATTATTCAGCCCTGATTTCTACACTTTTTTTTATGATCCTTTACTATCAATTTTTTCTCTTTTAGTTTAAAATTCTATCATAACACAATTAAGCAAAAATCTTTTCAAGAATTTTTATTAGAAAAAAATAAAGAAACTAATTTTTATAAAAATTAAAAATTAAAAAATTGTTATCTAATTATATGATCTGAATCAATTCGAATTGATGGTTTTTAGATGTGGTTTCGAATTCAGACGATCTAATTCCAATTTCAGACACATAAAAAAATTATTTTTAGACGCATTATAATTTAAATTTAGCGCATTTATGAATTTCCAATTTTGTTTTATTTTATTTTATTTTATTTTCTTTTCTTTTATTATTTATCGTTCACATTCGGGCTGCTGCTTAATATAGGTTTTTCTTTTTCTTTCTTTTTTTTTTCGATTTTTTTTTACTTTCTATTTTCATTTTCATTTTTTTTTTTTTATTTATTTTTAATTTTAACTTTTTTAATTTCGATTTTATTTTTATTCAGTTTTTTGGCAAATAAGTAAGTACTTTTTTTTTAAATATATTTTTTATTTTTTATTTTAGTTTTATTTTATTTCTATTTTATTTTCATGGAGGTTTTTTGACCGCATCGGGTGCTGCGTCATTTTCGTTTTCCTTTATATTTTCAGATTCTTTTTTATTAAACTTCAAACCGAAGTGATCCAACCTGAAATAATCATTCAATTAGAAGAACATGTAAAAATATTCACTTTTTTATTCTTTTTAATTCTTTTAAACAACAAATAGCAAATAGAAGAGAACTCCTACCTTTACGAGTTACCTGTATAATGATTCTATTTTGAAGCTAAGAGGCGAATTTTAAAATAAAAATTACATTTTAATTATAGAGAAAAGGATTGTTATTTTTTTTTATTATAATAGAGTAGTAAAGAAAATTAAATAAAAGAAAGTTAAAAATTCATAAAAATTTTTTAATTAGATAAATTGCTTATGTACACTCCCCATTGGACCAAAAAAAAAGTTATCACAACTTTTAAATTTATGACCAATTTTAATTTTTTAATTATAAAAAAAATTAATAAGTGAATTTGGAAAATTTTTTTTTTTATTTTATTCATAAAACATGAATTTTTTATTTATAAAATTAATATTTAGTTGGATTGACATTACTATATATTACAGCTTGAATCCTTCTTAACATATTTTCTACTAAATTTTCTAAAATTTCTGGTTCAATTCATACCACTTTTACTCCAAAATAACCATTAATTCATTAAGATTTTTTGAATGTAGCTTATGTTTACGGATCTTTCTTTCTAAAGCATTTCACAGATGCTCAATTGGATTAAGATCAGGTAACTATGCAGGCCATAAAATATTGATTATTTCATTTTCTTCTATCCATTCCTTAACTACTTTTGTCTGATAAACAGGAGCATTATCATCTTGAAAAATATAATTTAAATTAGTTTTCAACTCATCAATAAAGGGTAAAAGATTATTTAAAATATCAATATATACAGAACCTGTTATTCTACCAGAAACTTGAATTAAAAGGCCAATCATATTTTTAGTAAAATATTTCTACACCATAATGCCTTGATTTCCTGACTTTACTGTAGGAATTAAATAATTTATATCATATTTTTCATGAAGATGACATCAAACCCAATGATGAGCATCATTTTGAAATAATAAAAGGTGAGATTCATCACTCCATATTATTGTATCCCACTCAGATTCCCAATCTTTTCTAATATGACACTATTCTAATCTTTTTTTACAATTTACTTCAGATACTAAAGGTTTTCTTTTTTCAGCATGATCATAAAGACCTTCATTATATAAAGTCACTTTATAGTACTAGAACTTACTGAACCTATTGATATTTTTTTATAATTTGTCTAAGGATTATTGTCTATCCTTTTTAACAGTTTTTACAAGATATCTAACATTTCTCTTTGTTAATTTAGGTGGTCTGCCAAACCTAGAAGTATTTAAAATTTAGTGTTTAGTTTTATATTTTCAATAATATTATAAATGGTTGACTTAAAATGATCAGAAATATTTACAATATCTAGCTCAATATAATTATCTTTTCAAAGGCCAGTTATTTCACCTTGTTCAAATTCAAAAAGTTCTTAAGTTTTAAGCATTTTAAAAAAAATTATATTTGAATACAAAAAATTCGTAATTATGCAAAAAAAATTGACTCATTTTTATGCATTTAGATTACAAGTTATAATCAGCAAAATTACACTAATTAGTATAATGAAAATCACATGATCTAATACTTTTGACCAAGGAGTGTACAGTAAATGTAAATAATAGATTCTTTATATTATTTTAATATAATTTATAAATACATAATTAGTATAAAATTCAAATTTATTTAAAGTTCAATTTCAGATATCTCAATTATAGATAGCCTTATGTCTATAATTCAGATTTTATCTAAATTCAATTTCAAATATCTTAATTTTAAATGGCTTCATGTCTGAAATTTAGATTCTATTTAAAGTTTAATTTCAGATATTCTAATTTTAGATAACCTTGTATCTGAAATTCAGATTCTATTTGAAGTTCAATTTTAAATATCTCAATTTCAGACAGCCTTGTATCTAAAATTAAAGAGTTATACAAAAATTGATCAATAAGATTATGACTGAAATTGGAATTCAGATAAATTCAGATAACAAAAAAGGGTATCTGAAATTAGAATTTTAATCTCAGTTAACTGATCTTTAAATCTTAATTTCAGATACTCAAAGATCGTTTGAATTCTAATTTTAGACAAAAATTAATTTCAGTTACAATAAATTTAAGTGATTATATTATTATCCTAATCTTATGTATAAATAAATTTTTTTTAAATACTTTTCACATGATATCAAGTGCTGGATATGTCATACTAGAATGCTCAATATACTATATAGATCAAAACTATATATAGTACCATATAAAAATTCATTAGTGATGATTTTTAGATAAGCGTTGATTTATTATAAATTTATTATAAATTTAAATAGTTTGAAATTTTTTAGATATTTAGATTAAATGAAATTTTTTTTTCAATTACTTGGTATTATTCTACTTTATGAACTATAGCTACAAAGTTATAAAGCAAAAATTTTACATTAATCAGCAATTTTTCTATTTATATTAGGTTAATATCAATATTATATTATTACATGAAAAATTCAATTTATTAAAGAAAATATCAGGTAATTATATTAAATACAACAAATAGCTTTGTAACTATATAACCATAGTTTATAAAAGCAGAATAATGGTAAAGTAATTAAGAAAGAAATTTCCATTTGATCTGAATATTTAAAAAATTTTAAACTATTTAAATTTATAATAAATTTATAGTAAATCAACGCTTAACAAAGTTTATCTAAAAATTATCACTAAGAATTTTTATATAGTATTACATATAGTTGTGATCTATATAATATATTGAAAATCTTAATATCACATACAAATCAATCAATTTTAATCATTAATTTTCCTTTTGAATAATTACATTTTTTTTACATTATGTGAAATTTTATTTTTTAAATAAATTTTTTTAAGATTTTCTTATAAGTAAATATTACTTTAATAACAAAAATATATGTAATTTTATGAGAATAATAATATTCTCTTAGGTTATAGAGTATGTTATTCAGTTAGATTTATGTAAAATACAAAAAAATTTAATTTTTTAATAAAAAAATGAATTTTTATATATAAAATTTTAAGGTAAGAAGTTTTTAATAAAAACTTTGAATTTGAATACAACTTGACAAAAATAATAACTTTTATTAAAGGTAAGTAATTTATGTTCTTCTTTAATTAATACTATTAAGCTAAATAAATAATATTAATAAAATACTAAAAAAATATGTAAGATTATTAAATAAAAAAAATTTAAATATTCTATATTAATATTCTATTCTAATAAGAAATAAAATATCTATAAAAAAATTTTTATTTAGATTATTTTTTTTTTATTTAATAAAAAAATGTATTTAAAATTAAAAATTATCAACATTAAAATTAAATAATTTTATATTTTTCATATTAAAATTATTTATTATCTGAAGTGAGAGCATAAAATATATTACAGTTGAACTTAAAAGTATATATATAGTATCTGTATCTCACATGATCTACTAAATAAGTATTTACTATAGTTAATCAATTATTAATAATTTAGATACTTTAACAGTTTCTATTACTTAATAATATTTTTACATATTAAAATTAGTATATAATAGATAACTTGTTTAAAAAGATCTTCTTAAAACTACTGAATCATAATTTTTAAACTTATAAAATATTTTTGAAAAGTAAGTAAATATTTTATATAAGATAAAAATTCAAAAATATTAGTAATATCACATAATTGACTTATACATAAAATCAGAAAAAATATATAAAATTTTATTAATCAAATAATCAATATCTATATAAATATTATTTACTATAATTAACATATGATATGTCAATATATATAGTTGCAATTTATGATAAAAGATTGAATCTGTATACATTTTAAGAATATCTTAAATTTATTCAAATTATTTAAATTAATATCTGATTTAAATTACTTTAAATGTAATAAATTGAAATACTTTTTGTAATTATAGAAATAACTAAATTTTTTATTATAATATTATAATTATTATTACTAAAATTTAAATATAAAATAATAAGTAATATTTTATAATATTTCGTGCTTCTGTTGCAGAAAATTTAGTCATATCAAGAATATTATAACGCATTAGGCTGTAAAAAAATGTTTTCAGCATCTAGGGTCTATATATATCAATAGAGTATTCAACAGATATAAATACTATTATTTATGTATCTCTTCAACATATCTTGATGAGCGACGCCATTGCTCCATTTTTTGATCTAATACACATATTCTTAACAATTAGCTTGCAATCGACGGTGATATCAACAGGGGATTTCATTAGGAGATTATCTTCAAAAGTATCATCTTTAGAACCATGTTCTTTATATACGGAAGAACCTGATGAAGTATTATATGAAAAAATTTGATGAGGCAGAATACGTGGCTCAAGACTATTAATTTTGTTTATATCGCTAGGTATTTCTGCACTAGACCCTGTGCTTTCTAAGCTTGATGAAAATGGTTTTAGCACTCCTGGTGATGATGATGGTTTTGGTACTCTGTGTGATGAGAATAGCATGTCTTTCGTGATTTTAGCCTGTTTACGCAAAAAAAAAAATAGAAAATTTTAAGAATTCACGGTAACAAATCCTTATAATCATAGGGATGCATTTAATACTGATTTTCTTAGCTGAACCAACTGACTCTTTATTCTGTAGATATAATAAATCATTAAAAATTATTGTATAAAATTCAGGACGATATAAGGTCTTATCAATATCCTAATCTTTTTCGAAAGAGATAACTGCTTTTTTCGCTTTGGTTGACGGGTAAGTATGAAATTATTATCAGACTAAATATAAAAGAAAGAGTTAGTTTCTATTGGATAATTATTTCTAGCTAAAAAAATACCTCTTGGTCTTCATAAGGGAATTTCGTAAGTCCACCATTTTCAATATTATCTCTAACTCTAAGATCTATTTAACGTAAAAAAAATCAACTGAGTCAACAAAGAAAAATAACGAGAAGCTGTAAATTTAACAATAAATACCTGATTTTAATCGTCTTAGATTATCCTCTTGCCAAGAACTAAAATATCGCTTGCTTCGTCCTGTATTGTATTAATATAGTTGATCATTCTTTCAGTGCTTTTTATAGTCTTTTCCTTAAGTGAAATTTGAAGTTTTTTCTGTTGCCAAAATTCTTGGATCTCTGGAGAACGCTTTTCATCCTAAAAAATAAGAGATAATAATTATAATTAGTCTCACTATTTATATTCAATCACAGAGTTATCCAGTGTTTATTTTTAAGCAAAGAGGTACACCTTCTAACTCGACGGTGGTATTTTGGACTTGACCTAGCATCATTGTATCCACCAACTCAATAGCAGGATTATCAGACTCGACCAAACACTTTTTTTCTAGGCAATATATATAAGAGCAATAAAAAAAAATTTAATACTTCCCTCGTATGTTGACAGTACTTGTTCAGCCCTTTTCCTTTTTTTCTGCGACTTATTTTCATCATTCTTAATTCCATTTAGATTTTTATATTTGCGGTGTAGCTCAGAGCTGTCACGCAAACTCTCTATTGAATCAAGATACTTTATAAAGTTCAAGAGACTCCATTCTTCTGACTGATTAAAGAATAACATCGCTGAAAAATTTTATTCTGAATAATTTGTAGAGGTAGACATCTTTTTTTTATTGTGTTGTGTAAAACTAGAATCAGTTTTTGTACAGTAATTTTGATGTCAAACAAGGATCAATCACACAGATGTTTCACTTATAACACTTAATGGAAATTAAATTTATCGCACACGCCTATATGCATTGTGGCTGATTATATCATGAATAAGATAGTCAAAAGTAATAGTCTATAATTAAAACATTTATCAGAATCATTCAGTTAAACAATCGTGATTTCTGTCCCATCTCTCAATCTTAATACAATACCTTTTAGCTGATTAAGATGGTTTAAAAATGGTAGTAAGTTATTTTGTTTTGCATACTGAGATGAGATAAATATTTCGCCTGTATCACTTTTCGTAAAAATATTACATTCTAAGCTTTGAAGCCTGATAAAATCCCTAAGGTGGATTCTTTTTTTCTGGATAGAGGTACAGCGACTATATTTGAAGATGTATGTGCTGATCTGAAAAAAGTGCAGGAGAAAATCATCCTCTATTTTGTTGAAGAGCGCCATTACAATGTCAGTTCGATATATGTATCGCAGAATTATTTTGATTGCTTAAAGATAATACGAAAAATCTCACACATGTCTATTTATTTAATAGATCATGTACTGCAGATGAGCTGAGCCGTATTGTACGTCAATATGCTAATGACTGGCATAGTGTGATTAAAATTATTGACAAGACTTTATGTGAACATAAATTCATTATTTTCGATCTAACTGTATCTTACGAGTATCCACACAGGATATGTCTCAGCTGGAATCAAATTCTCATTAATGAGAATCTAACTTCATAGATGCCAGCTCTTTTTCCGCCTTCAGTACTTGCATCTTCAGATTTTTGATCATGATACATCTGGCAGATCGGCTAGAAATATTAGCTTTGATCAAGAATTTCACGTGACATTATAACCATTGGTCAGCAAAAAAAATAATGTGATTTTGAATGACCTAAGAACGCTGAAAATTATCAAAAAATAACATATGTATATCTATAAAATCTACCATCAGAGGTACTTATTGATATAGTAAAAATATCATTGCAAATTACTTATCACATGACATAAAAACAGAGTCATCACTTTTGTTTAGGAATATTTTTTATTATTATACCCTAACCATAAACTTTAGTTACAGAGTATATAAAATTACATGGATGAAATAGATTTCTATTCTATGGATCTTTTGGAGTCAAAATAATTATAGTCATTTCGTTAGAACTGTGTTCACTATTTTCAAAATCAGAATCATATAATATTTTATGAATTGTACATGTGACAACTGTTCTTAAAGTCATTAAAGCATGTATAAGCGGATAAATAGAACTTAGTGAAGTTGAGTGTAATGAAATTGTTGTCTTCTCTATTAGACAATACTTGTAGATACCCAATTCTTTTTGCATGGCATAAAGTTCTATAATATCACCCGCAATATTGATGGCAAATATAGATAACACCTGTCTTTTTAATGATTTATTAAATATTCTTTTAAGCTTCGATATAATTCTAGTAGTATCAATAGAATCTTTGGAAAACCTTACTAATTTTTTATAATCTCGTCAGCGCTTGTCTTGGCTAGAATTTGGTCTACCAGTTTCAAGGTATACTATTTCAAGTTCTATACCTTTTCCTAATTGTACTATAGTTATATAATCTGATTTTTGTGTAAATTTTCGAGATCCTTTTCTTATAGTACTAGCTGAACTTCCTTCTTCGCTCTATTTGAAAAATTATATTAATTATCTAATGAGTAAATAGTGTAGTAGAAAAAGAGGTATGTTCGTATACAACGCCTTTGACAAGCTTACCATATATCTCATACAATAGGATTTCCAAGTAAATCACTCATTAATATATTTATTAGTGACGCAAGTACTTCGCAAATATATGATCCTTCATTAACCGATTTTCCTTTCTTTATATAGACGTCATATTTAGGCAATTTTCAAACTTTATTCCTACAAAATATTTCACCTATTCACACCTCCTTCATGAGCAATAATATATTATTAGACGAAATCTCAAATAAAAAATAAACTTACGAAGCTTTTCTGAAGTATCTAGCCATTTTTCAAATTTTACATCACGCAATTCTTCATCCAAATTAATTTTTAACTCCTCATTATGAATAAACTCTTTATAAGTATCTATTATTATATTATTATAGTTTAACCTGTATTTCTTGAAGGGTTCCTTAAAAATATCACAAAGTGATCCAGGCATCTCTGTGAAGGGTTCTGATTTAATATTAAGTACTTCAGAGCATATTGGATGATCAAATCCAAGAGTCTTAACATTTACTTTCTCTAATTCTGTACCAATCCTTTCTTACATAGTTTTTTCATAGCTAACACTTTTACTTTTAAGCTGATCAACATCACGTATTAAAAGTTCTAAATTTGCATTTATGTTATCAGACCATGTTTTAGCATCAATTACCAGAGCTTTTATCCTTATAAGAGAGTATAAATCTTCAAACGCAGTTGTCACCTAAATATAGTTAACTTGACTTAAGCTTAATATTATTGTGATAGATTAAAGTGAAATATTCCTACGCAGGATCAGATTAGGTTTTCATTTCATAAAAAATATCAAAATGCTAGCAGTAAGTCAGTCAAAAAGTGCACTTGCTGGGCATATATATAAAATTAGTTAATGCCATGCGAAAGTGATAGCAATCACGATGGACACAACGCATTCACTAATATACACTACCCTGAAAAAAGTATCCGGACACCAAAAAATTTATAATTTTTTTCAAATTTAATAACTTTTGAGCTAACAATATTGTTAATAATTTCTTTTTATCCTATCTAGAACATTATTCTTCAAATTTTTTATAAATGCATTAAGAAATTTTTTTTATAAAACAATAAAATACAATCTTTGACTTTGATTAACCTTAGAATATATAAATGCGAATATCTTATAAATACTGATTATGGAGATATAAAATTAAAACTATCATACTCACCTCACCGAGTTCTTTCTGTCAAGGTGTGCTTGATTAGAATTGAATAATTGCATGTCAAAATAATTTAGAAAATGTGAAAATTATTGCATTTTGAGGCATTTTTAATTGAAACCAGTTTTATTTATTTATGCATGATACGCAAAGTAGTTTTAAACGAAAATAAAATATATCCAATTAATGCATCGAAACATGCACTATATAAAAATATAAATAATAATATTTTTATACCATATAAACTTAAGCCACAATTCACAAAAAACGGTGCCCGGATACTTTCTTCAGGTTAGTGTATATATGTGAAAAAACCTAAAAAATACATCATATCCACATATTCATTATGAAAAAATAGTTTATCGCCTTACCCATTTTGCCAATTTTTTTCTGGTACTAAAACTTCAAAGCTTTTTTATCCAATTAATATTCTCTGAGGGGATTCATTCCAAAACTTGCTCCAAAACATTGTCAAAGTTCTTCACCTCCTTTTTAAGAATGCTTGTTTATTCACCTTGCTCCACTCGTATAAATAATGCTATGAAAATTCTGATAATACTAAGGGGTTCTCTTGTTAAAAGGAATTCTTCCATATTTTGATAAAATAAAAGTTAAATGTTAGTATAAAGCTTGCTAAGCAAAGTAAAAAAAATAATGTAAAGGCATAATAATTTCACTATACTACCCTTTTAATATTTGTAATTTTCTCATTCACATCTCTCTGAGTTTGAGTTTATGTTGGGGTTAAAGCAGAAAAATATGCAATGACTTTTACACTAAAATATGTTGTATTCGAGAATAAGGATATATAAGATGTGCATTAAAGATCTCGACTTTAAAAAGGTATTGGGGGTAATGCATATGGATTTTTTTTCAAAATATTTTTTGGAAGGATCGATTTATGTGTGAAATTATTTTGTCGCACAAGTATAATTTCACAGATGATTTGTAAACTATTACATATTACATTATATATACTTTAACAAAGATAATACTTTATTAAAATAGTTATACAGTATATTGCTGAGGATCTAATTCAGAATAGGTAAATCAAGTTTTTTATCCCGCAAGTGATATATTTCACAAGCGATCATATATGCAATTATATAGCGCAAAATAAAGAATGTTAAACAAATGTGATTTTTGTCCTATCTTTCAATCTTAATGTAGGCTGATTAACTTCAGGGTGGAAACATATTATAACTAATTTTTTTTGATTTAGTTAAATTAGATTTAAGACAATATACATAACATGTTCATCTTTGTATTATAGTATACCTGACTTCTTTTCAGCATCTCATTAGTCTCCAGCGCTTTTCCGTTACTTTCAGTTTATAGATCTCTCGTGATTAATAGGGGGATTAGTCAGAGATGTTTTGCATGATGTATTTATATAAGATGATCAGTTAATTTTATACCGATGATTTCATAATAGCAAGGGCTTTTTCTATCCCCTACACCTGCACCTTTATTTCATTAATTTCATAGTGCAGATAGTTATTTTCTTTAATTTGTTTCTCATGTTCCCTAGTTAGATTCTGCATAAAATGATTAAATATTTCTTTATTACATTTAAGCAGTTGCTTTTGCAGAATAATAAGTTCATATTTAGTTTAATCATTAATTCCTGCCCTATGATCATCTGACTTATTTTTTGTTTAGGATTTATTATCAGGTGCTAGGCATTCTGGCCAACTTTGAAGTCATGGTTTTTTCTGATCTATAGCTTTACGACTCTGGTCTAATGATTTCTGGTAAATCTCTAATGTATGGTGTAAATAATTCTCTATCTGCTTATTTTTCTCTGAAATTTGATTTAAAGGAATAGGTTTGTGTAAATGATTTAGAAGCCTTTGATATGTCCTATCTTTTATACTTACTGGGAGCTTATCTATAATGTAATTATAATCTGAATGGAACATTATACTCAGATATTTTG